AAAAATGATTGCTGTCTTTGGCTTTTTACAAATGTTTTTTTTTTTCTCCACACATCTCTGCCAAGATGACTTTGAGTGGGTGAGAAAGTGAGTGTTGTTAGTAAAGCTGAGTCTTAGTGTGAGTCAGACAGAGAAGTCGACAGCATACAAAATGGGATATTGGAGGAGATAGGAGTGAAATCTGTGGAGGTTTTTGACAAGTACTCAAGACTAAAAGCTGATTAGCAGGAGATGGAGAACATGCGTCTCACTTAAAAAACCAAGTGTGAATGTTTGCCACACTGGGATGCCTTATTGGCAAGTCAGACAGTGCAGAGTAGTTAACATGTGACAGGTCAGAATATGCAAAAATATCAGCACTACTGATGCATGTTGCAAAATGACATCCCCTTGAACCAGCTTTACACCTTTGTAAAGCTGGTTCAAGGGGATGTAATTTTGCAAAATGTATTTTTTTAAACATAAACTGCTGCACATGTTCAAGATTCAGGATTCAGTTTCTGTGCTCGTGCAGTAACACACACTGCACACATGTACGGATTGAAGTCTCTGCTGGTGACGAGATTAACTTTTTTACCCCAGTAGTTGCAACATCTGCCCGCTACATCTGTCAGAGGACAACCAGGCTTTCCACTCGCTGCACAACAAATCCATCTACACAGCTCAACCATTTACAGATTAACTGCTGCAATAATGCTCGGCTAAAGTACATTGAAATCACATTGCAGAGCCACGCAGCATCTCATTAACATTTCAGTGGGGACAGAACGTACATTTCAGTGACATTAAATGAACTTCTCCTTCGATTCTTCTTTCGGAATATATTTTGATACATGCTTAATTAACTGTATTGGACAACATTGTTTAGTTACTGGACTAAGTGGAGATCACAGATCAGATGTGGCTGCTGTCTCTTTAAGCTTTGCCATGGTGACCCAGTTTCTGGCCCAAACCCACGGCTGAGTGTAATTCAGTAGAGCTGTGAAGGATTCTGACTACTCTTTCATGTAATCATGTCAGATGAGACAGGAATGGGAATTAAGATGCTTTTAACAACGCTGCTAACAAGGTTTTAGCAAAGTGGCCTCCTTCCTCACTCCGCTGTTTCCGGGATTAAATCGCAGAACACAGAAAGTTTGATGTTGTTACCTCCAATATGAAATCTTCTCAAGCAGTTCCACCTGGAAAAAAACTGCTTTGCTATTGTACCATCGCTCCGAGGCCTAGGAGTCATAAAAATTCAATTCCATTTGCTCCATTTGAGTTGGAAATGTACCAACTATTCTGCCCTGAACCAAATTGCAACTTTTCATTCCGCTTCAGATCAGTGTTATTCAAGGTGAACTGTAACAGTGTGGCAGCAGAGTCCCTACCAATTATCTTGGAAATGGTCTGTCAAATCACTCTGCTCTTAGAAGCCGCTAAAATATCTAGTGATCGAGTCGCCAATTATACACAGACTGAGTGCCGGCTGACAAATCAGAGAATGCGGCACTAATGGCAACTAGGAGGCACTTATAGTTCAGAAAATAAAATAATGCAGGAGTAAGTGTGCAGAAATGTCATTCCAGAGCAAATGTTTGATTTAACATAAACTTTTAACTGGCAGCAAAAGTCAGAGAGCTGCATTAAAGGGAGTTATCCCCCTGAGTGATTTTCTTCCATGTTTTCCTTTAAGGTCAGTCTTTGGATGCTCGTCGTATAAGCAATTTTCAGTGTCCACCTGTGCCGAATATGGATGCTCTGTTCGAGGATGTGATGCAGAAAGTGCGGACGACTGCCCGCGGGGCTATAGCACCCATTGCATGTGTGCAGGCGGTTCGAGCGGCCGCAACGCTGCCGTACACTCAGGGCATGCAGCGGGAGAAAGAGCTGATGGCTACTCTCTTCACATCCGGCCAGGCCCGCGCCCTGCAATACTGCTTCTTTGCTCAGAGAGTGGTCGGGAGGTGGAGCATGCCCAGTGGAGCCCGCTGGGACACGAGCAAGGGCAGGCCTATTCATAAAGCTGCTGTCATTGGTGAGAGCTTTGGACTTTTCATTTTATTTTTCTACATTTTCAATTAAAAAAAAAAGGAAGTTGGCTCCGTGTGGCATCTCCAAATACACAGTGGAAACTGTGCCCTCATTTACAGTTCAGCTGGGTGTAAACGCATGAACTCGCTCTCTCCTGCAGGGAGGATTGGATGTATGACAATCTGGATATGTGAAGCTTAGCTGCTTGGCCATTAAAATTTCAAGCTTTAAAAAGACTGTGTGCTGCCTGGCTATAAATTAGTACACAAAACAACATTTTCTTTGACTAGCCTGTCCTGTATATTTACTTGGTCAGTATTTCTTTATTTTTAACCAGATTCTGATTTTTCTGTATCTAAGGTCTGGGCACCATGGGGAGAGGCATAACAGTGGCACTGGCTCAGACTGGGTTGTCTGTGGTGGCGGTGGAGACCCAGGAGAAGCAGTTCATGGAGGCAAAGAAGGCGGTATCCAACATGTTGGAGCGAGGGGCTAAAAGAAGTGGGAAACCTCTCGCACATGGTAAGATCACATACAGCCAGAGCCTGCAGGCTGTAGCAGACGTGGACCTGGTCATCGAGGCTGTGTTTGAGGACATGGGCCTGAAGAAGAAAGTCTTCCAGCAGCTGTCTGCTGTTTGTAAACCAGGCACCTTCCTGTGCACCAACACCTCCACTCTCGATGTGGATGAGCTGGCCTCCCAGACCCACCAACCTGAGCTGGTGGTGGGGATGCACTTCTTTGCTCCTGCCCATATCATGAAGCTCCTGGAGGTGGTGTATGGGCCGCGCTCTTCTCCTGAACTTGTAGCTGTTGTCATGGAGCTGGGGAAGAAAATGGGCAAAGTCAGTGTGGCCGTTGGCAACTGCAGGGGCTTCGTGGGGAACCGCATGCTTAAGCCATACCGTGACCAGGCGTACTTCCTGCTAGAGGAGGGAGCTACACCTCAGTTGATCGATCAAGCGCTGGAGGAGTTTGGTTTCGCAATGGGCGCGTTCAAAGTGTCCGACCTCTCTGGGCTTGATGTAGGATGGAAGGTGAGGAAGGAAGAAGGGCTGGTGCAGCCTGGTGGGGGATCAGGGAAATCAGCCAGAATCCGAAATGGTGTCAGGTATAGTCCTCTAGGAGATCTCATGTGTGAGCAAGGAAGGTTTGGCCAGAAGACGGGCAGGGGGTGGTACCAGTACGACAAACCCGGGAGTCGTGATGCAAGGCCTGATCCCTGGATGCACAGCTTCCTGGAGGAGTACCGAGCCCGCCATGGCCTAGTGGCACGCCGCATCAGCAACCAGGAAGTGCTGGAGCGCTGCCTTTACGCCATGATCAACGAGGGCTTCCGCGTCCTGGAGGACGGCATAGCCGCAGGACCAGAAGACATCGACATCATCTATGTCTTTGGTTACGGCTGGCCCAGGCACCGTGGAGGTCCCATGTTCTATGCCAACATGGTGGGGCTGGAGATTGTCCTGGAGAGGCTGGAGCACTACGCCCAGGCTAACCCTGACATGCCCACCCTGCAGCCGTGCAGCCTGCTCAGAAAGCTGGTGGCCAGCGGGAGCCCACCTGTCAACAAGTGGAAGGAAGTCATCAAGAACGTCCGAAGCCAGCTTTAAATCTCCAAACATCTAACAATCTCAGCTTTAATCACTCGATTCCTTTACAATGATGATCTTTAACTGTGATGAATGCTAAATGAACTGCACTCAAATTGCACTTTTGGATAAATAACAATGATAATTTTTCTGATACTTATCATAGCATCTCTGACTGTGAGCTGACTCTACAGTTTATTATCTAAACCCATAAAATGGGATTCAATAGATACCTCTGATAAAAAAAAATGTTTTTCTAATGAAGTTTAGGGTCTAGTATACTCTGCTGCAAGATGCTAATGAAACTTGCAATGTAGAATAAATAATAGTGTGTAATAGTGTACGTCAGAGGGTGTTCAAAATCTACAAAAAAATAATCTAATGCAGCTTCTATAGTCCTATGAAACACAACACATTTTTCAAATTTAACAATGTACAGAAATACATGGACAAGAATATTTTGTCTTTGTGATAACATATTTCAGAGGAAATCTCAAGTTGAATCTTTTGTTTTTTAATTTAAAAAAATAATCAGCACCAACATAGCAACATTTGGATGCAAATGATGTCATTGATTTTCCTATATTAGGATTGTTTGCTTGTTTGATTGTATTTGTCTGCTTTCCTAATGTACAAACAATGCAATATAAAGATCTGTACATTACCTACATTTATCATCCAAAGTCTCAATAAACACATTTATAGACTCAAGCATTGGTTATTTTGATTGATTCTCTCTGTGAAGAAAGAACCATATGTGCAGAATCACATTTGTTTGTTTCTTTGACCTTTACTCAGGTTTCGGTTGGTGGCATTTTATTCTAATTGTTTCATCAAGCAGAATTTCTTGTCAGGATTATTTCCCGTGCTCATGTGTGTATTTCTGCTGAGCCAGCTGCTGTGATGACAGAGGAGAACTGAGGGAAACACACTGCACTCAACTGCTTTTATATAAATCAATGGCTCACTCACAAAGAAACCTCACACCAAGGAGGAGCAGATGTTGGGGACGCCCCCTAACGGCGGAAGGCTCCAGACTGAGCAGCTGGATTATACAGTATGATGCTCCATTTCGCTACAAATAACTATTTTTAAACGTTTTATTTCTAATAAAAGGCAGGGTAATGTATGACCAAAAATTAAACAACAGCTCGATAATCCAAATCAATAGCCCTACAAATAGAGGGATTACATCTTTAGAGATATTCTGAAACTGTTTCACGTTTTTTTGACATATTGCGGTTGAATTTAGGAGTATTTCTGAAATCCAGACTCCGTGTTGTAAGATTCTTTTGATGCATCGATGGGAGCCTGGCTGTATTTTTGAAGTGCGCAGAACAGCTGGCTTTGTGTGTGTGTGGAGTGGACTCCTCCCGTTGTGTGATGAAGTTCAGATGCGCGCCGTTGTTCCGTACGCGCGTCACCAGAGGAGCTTCCCGACGCGAGGGGAGGATGGAGAGCTGTGTGGATCACGACCATGGGAGGCTTTAAATCTACCACTATACCTCGATAATTGACGGTTTTCTACTTTTACCGGATATGTTTCCACCTTTTGTATGAGCAGGAACCTGCTTGCTCCGGATTCAGACATCTAGTACCGCGTTTCGCGACTCATCCTCAGTTGAAAAGCTTCTTGGGCTTCGTGGACCGTAAAACCTCGACTCGGTCCCTCACGGTTATGCTTTAGTATACTCGGGTGGAGCTGTGTGTGGGGGGTTTTCTTTTTCTTTTTTTGTACTATCCAGGAAATGTTGGCATGGCCGCCTCAGGAGCACAGAAGTGTCCGAAGAGTGAGAAGTTGGACGAGGCGCAGGCTTTGGCCAAGAGCTGCGCGGGGAGACCAGACTTCCTGCCTTGTGATGGACTCTCCATCTGCGCGACGCACAGCCACGGGAAGTGCTTCAAGCTGCACTGGTGCTGCCACTTAGGCTGGTGTCACTGTAAGTTTATTTTACATGATTTCAAAGCACTTCTTATAGCCAAAGGTTTAGCCCCTGCTGTCAAAATATACTGTACTGGTGCTCATGTGAATTTAGAGGAATCGACTTAAAATGGATAAATGTGGCAGAGTTAACTCAGTGTTCATAAACGGCTCAAAAAGGTGGCTTTTATTTAGCCCACTGACTTTTCAGATGCGCTCAGAGGGAACATTTGCTGCTCCATTAGAGCTGTTTTATTTTCTGATAAAACTTCCAAACAGATTCAAGAGTCTTGTTTATATTCATTGAAATAATTCTGAGGTCAAACTTAGGGTCACATCCTCGATCAGAGTAAATAGACGCCCCTGTATGAATAGTTAATGTAGGCAAGTCTAAACAATGGAGGCTGCAAAATTCACAAGCAGGATGTGATGTTTCAGGGCCATGGTGTCACTGCTGCTGTTTTCATGTGCAGCCCAAACTGACAGTAAACAGAAGCAGTAGTGAAGTTCATTAAAATTTAGCAGCTAAAAGAAGCTGTTTACAGTCCTTTAAAACCGTTATGTTTAAATGTTTAGCCGTCTGCTGTAATGTTATGTTTAGGTTTAAAAACAAAGGTCATTACAAACACAATGAAGTTCAATTATTTATGTGTACACATTTAACATAAAAATTTAATTAAATTGGTAAAAAATACAAGAATAGCTGAAATGATATTTCCATATCTTATGCCTGGGGTTATGAATGCATCTGTGTTCAAGTAGAAGTCAAATAAATAATAACATATTTAGTCTAAAGGGAGGGTGATGGCTTTATAACACTGAGTGTGAAGATACTTACAACACGACTCTGTGACATCACACACTTGAGTCATCTCTTTTGTTTTGCTTCAACAGTGGAAAATAAAAACTTGTGTTTCTCTTTGTAAACAAATTCCATGAAAAGAAAAAAAAACAATGAAGAAAGAATTAATTTTACCAATAAGTACTCTGTGTAGACAAATCAGGATATATATCACCTCTGTGCCACAAGCTGCTTTAAACTAGATATTTTCTTCATTATAAAATTGGCAGACAATATTAGTGAAGTAACAACTCAGATTAAACAAATGTGTATTAATCCACAGCTACAATACTCCTTAAATATGTACATTTGATTCCTTAACATTTGTAAAGAAAAAATAAATAGTGTTATTGTGTTTTATGAAATGATCAACCCTTTTTAAAATTAAACTTTACTCAAATATGAAGATTTACTTCATCTAGAGGAAGTGATGTGTCTAAGGATGAGTGCTACAGACTGTATAAGGATATAGGAAAGTTCTGAGAGATTAACTAACACATTGCTCGTGTTGATCACTGGGATTTGCTGACATTAAACATTTTCACAAAAAAAAGTGTTCTTTAAAGTAAGACACAAATCCTCATATTTTCAAACAAAGTGAAGCAGTTTAGGCCAAATGGTACTACCTCAACACTATCAATATCATCTATATTGAATGCATGAAGCAGCACTTCCACTCAATTACAAACCATTTTCTCGTCCCTTTGACAACAGTCACAGACATTTCCTTCAACAGTGTCCCTTAGACGTTTCCCCTCCATTTAAACCTCCTCGACTCGACACGTTAACACCACCCAGCGCTGAATCACAATAGCTGCGTCTGAACCTGACAGCATGTCAGGCTCTTTGTGCTGGCCTAATTTATCCCGAAAATCCTCAGATCAGTGTAAAACACAATCAACCATCTCCTCTGCACCATTCACCCAGAGCTTAGAGTGTGCAACTGGAGAAGTCACATTGTAATCTTTGCCATGTAATCATTGGATTTAGATTCCTGCCTCGGTCCAGAGTGAGCCAAGCGATTTGAAATATCTGATGTGGCAGAAAAACCATGAATTCTTTCCAGTGTTTATTGGGAGCCACATGTGGGAATTATGTTTCCCAGAAAAGCCTGCTCAGTGTTGCATCATTTGTAAACATTCAGACCACTTTTAGTTCTGAAATATTCATCTCTGTAGCAAAAAAAAAAAAGGCTGCAAAATGGACTCAGGGACCCTTTCCTCTATATTTAATAGAGTTGTTGTGCTAGAGAGAAAAAACATCATAATGAGGCTTCTCACCTTCACCTCTCTTTTCGGTGTAATTCACTGGTTCCCCTCACAGGACAGCCGGGCACCACAGTGAGAATAAACCCACTTAGACTGCTGAATCAGGCAGAACCAGGGCACCCAGTGAGAAAAGTATTGCAGCTTGCTTCTTGCATGAAACCCCAGCTGCTCTGCTTGGCTCGCACCCTTCTTTCCAGCGGTACATGAAAAACACCGGATAGAAAAAAATGTTGTTACGCCCTTATCGCTTCACGTTTTCATTTTTATGAACATGCCTACCACTGTCGCCTGGAGTATAAACTTGTTCTGAAGCTGATAATTGTGCATTCACCACAGGGAGCACCGCTAGACTGCCTTTTTAATTACATCTTTAATCGCTTTCCAGGTAAACAAACAGAAAAAGGTCAATGTGTAGCGATACTTGCTCAGCATTTAAATTTCCCGAACACAAATTATTTCCATTATCTCACCTGTTGCGCAGCATTGAGTGATTACCCGTGTCTTTAATTCCTGGCTTGTCTGTACGTGCCTTTGCAAACCGAAACATCCTCAGGTTTTCTTCTTTTGCAGACTGCAGCCAGAAAATAATGTAGTTTCTTCAAATCCCAAACAATAGTTTACATGAAGATGTAGCTGAATTGAAGCGTTTGGATGAGGAAACAGTGGAAACTGGAATTGTACGTGGGTGGAAGCAATGTCCCCAGCTGGTGACAACATCAGTCCAAGCCTCTCATTAGCGGTAATTAGCTGTATTTAGTGTCACCGCCAATATGTCATGTCTGATGAGAGCTCACAGCACCACTAGAACCACCTGGTCGGAACATTTTCTCTCCCATTTTCTCCTCAACGTACTGATTACAATTACCAGGCAGAGCAATGAATCACTCATTTATAGAGTCTAACTAAGTCTAATGAGTTCTAAACAGTCCTGTCAGTCACTCGTACTCACAACTTGTACTTCACTTCTTAATAGAAGGAAGTGGGATTTTTGTCAGATATCATCTCATCTGCACCGCTACCCAGCTGTAGCATGCAACAATCTCTAAAGGGAAATATGGAGGCTTATTTGATAAAGCTCTGTACTATATTGATTAGTTTGGGGACCACTTCAAAATTGACTGCAGTGCTGAATCATGAAAAGTTTCACCTCTTATTAAAAGATCAATACAGTGTGAGCACAGGCCGGAGGGGATGTTTTTTTTTTTTGTTGATTGATCTTGTGTTCGGGAGTGAAAGTGTCGATCACTTTAACTGCAGGACTGGATAATGGAAAAGTGGCAACAGCAATAGTTTAAAAAAAAAGTTTGCAATATTTTAAAGGATTGTTGCAAAGATTTTCAACTCTGTTTTAATATTCTACCACTTTCACTGTTCCTGTTACGATCCAGTCTTAAGTGCTGCTCAGCAGGAGACACTGTCAGGGGAAGAAAGAGGAAATGATGTATTAAAAGACTGCAACTTTGTATGAAAACTTTTTGACATGGCTGCTGCAGTCTCATGTAAGCCAAACTGAAAATCACAACACATTTGACAGAGTTCCTCTTTTTTTTTAATCCAAGAAGCCTGATAGTTGTTCTGTTCATTTCTAGTGCTTTCTTGATGTACTTACAATATAGAGAACCGCTGTAGCTTACAAATGTGTCCCACTATGTTAAGAGTTTTTTATTGATGTACAGGTTAGTCTCCATTGCTCAACAATAACCTCACCAAAACACTAGTGGACGATGCAATTTCAAGTTGCCACTCAGGGGAGCTTTTTCTGGCTTCTTTCTAAACGTTACACCAATGTGAATGTTCAGTTTTAATAACGTTACTGCAACTCATCAAACATGCTTTGCCATTGTGTGTAAAACATTGAAACTGGCAATTACCATTCAAGTTTCAGAGCCAAGAGGCTGTAGCAGCTTGCTCAAAAAAATAGCATTGCACAGATTTTAAGGTTCACATTGCCCCTACAGGAGTACATAAAGCTATTGTTTACACTTATATTTAGATTCAGGAAGTACAAATCAGACCAAAAAGGTGACTTGAATTTTGTTTTTGTAGCATGAATTTATCTTTAATCTTTCAAAGTATGGTGTCCAATCCAAATTCTACTTCTTCATCTGGACCTTTCCTTTAAGGTCTTTACATGAGTCTTAAGCCTGCTGTTCATGTTTCACAACATAAACAGTCCAGAGGGTTTTCATTTTTTGGCGACAGACTAAACAGTGGACTTCCTCTCTGGCTTTAGCTGAAAAACAGCCTCTCTTTCTCCCTCTGGAATCATGAAACAGGAAACAGGAAAGGGCTTTCACATGACGCTTAGTCAGAACGTCCCCTCCGCTGAAACCTGAAACTTGTGTTGTCACCCTGACCCATGGCCCCATTGTTGGACAGATTTTAACACAAAGAGCAGCGGATGTGAACGCAGACCAAATCTACCAGCCAAATGGGTGCAGCCAAATAAACAGTTTTCTGCTCACAGAGTTTGGCCTAAATGCTGCTTTGAACTTTTTGTGTAGAATTTGAAAAGGAAGATCTGCCCAGTCTGTACTCAAAAGGCTGCTGGCTTTGGCTCAAACATGTAAAAAAGCAAAAAAACAAACAAGCTGAGGGGGTTGTTAATGACTCAGTCTCTACTCAGACTTTGATATAAGCAGATATTAAAATGACACAATCTGAGCCAGACACCCATTCTCATTCATCTACATGTGGAGTTTGTCTTCATTACACCTCAGTCTTTTAGTGTTTCCCTTTGAGCTGCAGAGAGTAGAGCGACAGAAGAGCTGGAATTTGAAGGAGTGGTGTCGAATCTGTGTGAGAGCCAGTGAAGGACTGAGGGTCTACATGCTGCATTATTCAGAGAGACTATCTCCTGTACTAAAAGCAGAGTGTGCAGCCGTCAGCAAGCCACAGGCCACAGAGAGA